AAGGGATAACGAGACAGCCACGCTGGACCTGTGTAGGGCACCAGAGTGGAGATGAGCAGATTTGTAAGGTGACGCTCAGCCTGAATGATGAGGGAGGGAGAGCTTAAGAGCTTTAAATTTTCTTTTAGCCAGGGGTTGCAACTGGAGCTCTGGTTCTGCCAAAACACCACATCAGTCATCTTAGCTTTAGGAGTGATAAGAAGGGAGATAGGGAAACTGATGTGTGCCTTAAAGAGGTCTGAGACTGGGTTGAGGCAACTATTTCTCTAGCCTGCCTATACTGTGACTCCCCATCATAACCTCATCATCTTGTTTCCTTAAAACAGCCTGAGGAAGTAAACAAAAATGAGAACCCAGGAAAATCCAGTATTATTCTTTTTCTTAGAAGCATCTGATTTTCTTATTCACCTCTATCTTATGTATGTCTGTTGAATAGCACATGTGCATGCCACATCCCACACACTGTGAGGAAAAGTGCCCCTTTTCAGGAATTTTGCATACATTCCTCTCTCACCACAAAGGGGATTGAGTTTGTCTCACTGAAAAAGCCGTAGATTTTATTCAAGAAATTCCCACATTGATTTCTCCCATCTCAATGGTTCTGCAAAATAACAGTGCTAAACAAAACCCAGCAGCACCCATCTTAAATACCACCCGTATGGAAACATACACCCCAGAACTTCATCCTAAACCATGAAGCACGTGCCCTTGCTCCTTATCTTTTTCACAATATTTGATGTTAAATCTTCAGATGGAGTTGATTCAAAAGTTATCAGAATGATGTTTGCAAGGAGGAAATAAAATTGAATTGCCAATGTTTTGATACTCAGCAATATTTGAAACATAAAATAAGAAATTGTGGTCATTGAGTTACCCAATTGTTCCTACAGAACACACTTGGCTCTGTGATGGGAAGGTGGCATTCCATTTTTAATGACAGTGAAGGAATTTAACAATAATAAACTAAGCAGTAGTAAGAAGTTGTGACAACAATGGAAACTCTGGCTTTGAAAGCATCTTGCTTTACCATTTACGTTATTTAAACAACATTATTTAAATCCACAGGTAATGTTTTCCCACAGCTTAAGACAGACTCTGATCTAAATAAGGATCAAGATACCTAAATAATAAGAGTGTGGCTCCCTAGGCTGTTGCACTTCTGGCACAGTGAAGAATTGCCTAAGCACAAAAGCTGAAAAAGGCCATCAGGAACACTGCCTTGGGACCATCCCCATCTCCAGGGCAGGTTTAAAGACTTATTGAACCTGCTTCCCCTCCTCTAAGGGCTGTGTTTGGATTGAACAGCTGTATTCACAACAATGCAGTAGATGGGGAACATCATGAGCCTGTAGGACATGCCACCACCTGTAGGACATGCCAGAAGGACCCTGTGCAATGCCAGAAAATTCCCGGGGCAGAACATGGGCTTTTCCCAGATGCCAAACCAAAGTTTAATAATTTTGATATGTTGAACAGTGGATGGGTACAGGAGGAAAAAAAAACCACACACACACACACACACAAAAAAAAACAAAACAAAAAAACAGACGCAGGCTGCAGCTAATACCTGGGGTTGCTCAACAGCAAGAAGATCAGGCGCTAGACAGCTTTCAGGCATTAACAGTACTCTCCATTGGTTTCCCAATGTTTCTTTTGTGAACTTCAATAACAAAAGGTCAAATTGAAACCTAGAGGGTAGTGTGCAACTCAATATTCAATGTGTCAGTGAACTTCTTAAAAGCAATAAAATCTGGAAGACCTGCAAGAGAGAAAAACTAATATTCTTCTGTCCAGCTGCTTGCTGGCAGCTCTGGCATTTATAAAATGCTGTCTTACAAAGATGACTCCTGTGGCAACAAGTATTATTAATCCACATGAGACAAGTAAATTCACAGAGACAGAAAGAGGAGATGTTGCTGGAAAATAAGGAACCTGCCAGAATTATGTGCCATGACAATTCCTTATCCCAAGGTGTCCAAAAAAATCTTGATGGGCTTAAAAAGGGATTAAAGACTATTTACGGGTCAGATGAAGGCTGGAGGTCTCTTTTCCCAACAGTCCAAAAATTAAACAGTGGTGTGCAAGAACGGGACATCAAAGAATGTATGATAAGCTATTTGCAGCTCTAGAAAACACTCGTATGACGAAATTTTCAATGCATGGAACCAGTGCTTCAGTGTCACGAATAGCAGGAAGGGTTTTCCTCCCCCTCACTGGTCAATGCCTCCATGTAGTGCAGCAGGACTTCTGCAGCTGCTGCTGGCCTTCACCAAAAATGAACTCAAGATGTTATCAGATCCTGGGAGAATACAAAATCCTAAACCAAGAATTAAAACATACGTAATTTGGGTCACACAGGCCTCCTTTCTTGGTTATCAGTCAATCAGGCTGCTACGAACCAGAAGAGCAAGAGAAGCAGAAGAGTCCCTGTCTGCCCCCAAAAGACTTCTCTCTGAGTGACAGAGCTCCCAGCCCATGATGGGAACAGCACTTTAATACTGCTTATAATGATGCCTTGTCTTGATGAGAGAGAGCCAAGGCAACATCTAACATGTATGAGCCTTCCTCAAAAATTCACATACATAAATCTGGAGCAATGCTGAGTCTGGGTAGGAGCACTGAATGGAGGTGCTGGCCCCAGCTAGTTGGAGTGTGCAGGCATCCCCGGAGCTGCCTACAGTTTCCACACAGACTCCTACAGAGGTGCAAAATACAAATGCTTTTGTAGCTGTTTTCTCTGTTTCCTCAGCAAAGATGCCTGAACAAAAGTAGTGTATGCCCCAGAACTGTGAGTGTTAAGAATTAAAAAGCTGCACCTAGAAGCAGATTTCTGCACAAATGATATGGGATATAAATTCATGAGCCCATGAGATTAAGTGGTCCCTCCGGATGGGGGTGGCACCAAGTCTGCTCTAAAGCAGCTTTGGGCTCTTCCCTCACCCTGGTCTGAACGCAGCCCGTGTGGCCTCACGGGTGAGCTGCAGGATTCCAAGTAGGGGAAAAGATCCAGGACCACTCGCTATCGTGGCCATTACTCATCCCCCAGCACAGGCTGGGCTGCAGCCAAAAGAAGTTATGTTTCTGGGATGATCATTTATGGTCAGGCATGCCTTCTGATAGAGGCAGCTAAACCTTGCTAACGTGAGATGTCTGGGACAGCAAAGCCACCACAATAGGGGAGGATCAGCCCAGGCCAGCCCATGGGAGGACAGACATTTGTGATGGAAAACAGCTCCATTAGCTTGTTGCTTTTCCACCTCCCAACCCACACAGCCTGCTCTCTCAAAAGCTGAGAGAAAAAAAAAAAAGCTTTTCATTAGAGAAGGAGTCAAGCGAGGCTCTCCACACTTCTAACAAATCGACAGCAGCAGGGCCTTCTGTAGCCTCCCTTCTTAGTCTGCTACCTAATCAGTGGTGAGATGCTCCTTCAAGCTTTTAAAATGAGTTCCAGTTTTGATTTGCTTCCTCTTGTGTAAATCTAAGTTGTTCTGAAAGGGAAGCATCAGGTCCAGGTCATGAAGTGTCCCCTGTACATCACGAGGCCAGCTGTAAGGCTGCAGAACAGCACAAGGAAACAGCAGAAAAGGGGGAATTAATATTAAGACACAAGCTCAAAACAACACCAAAATACTCACATCTGTGACACATTGGTCCTCAGGGTGAAAAAAAAAGAAAGAAATGAACCAATTTTTGAACATATTCTGCTACATTTTGGCACAGTAAAGCCTTTCATTCACTGATGGACTCAAAATATGCCAATGCCACTTGTTGTCATACAAACCCTGACCCAGGGATATTAAGGTGGGCACAGTGACATTAAATATTTCCTTTTTTTTTTTTTTTTTGAAAGATATCCAAGGTAAAAGCTGCCAGACAAACTGCTCAGCTAGAAGTCCTTCATTGGGCACAACAGACACAGGGCTGAGGATGCAATGGGCTCAGAGGCACTGCTGGCTTGCCAGGGACATGCCTGCAGTGATGGAGCTCTTACACAATCACTTATTCTTCTCAAAATCAGCATCTTGACCAAATTACATTTTTTTCTAAAGGAGGTTTAGTTATTTATTTTTTTTTTAATAAATTAAATGGATAGACCAACACTTCCCTATCTCTGACACCCACATACATACCCCCCGAACGCTTTCTCAAAGAGCCAACATCAAGGCCCTTTGGATTTAAAAAAAATAAACAAATAATAATTAAAATAAAACAAAACAAAACAAAAAAAGACACCTATAGTATCATCCTAGTATCATCCTCCCCACTGCCAATAATCAGTATTTAGAGAGCATTTACCTCAGGTGGTAATCACACCTGAAGCTTCAACTTCTATGGATGTGCCTTGTCCCCAGGTGATCTAATTTATGGGTTTCCATGTTGTGGCCATGAGCTGCACAACATGGCTGTGTGCAGGGCTTGTTTTAAACCTACTGGGTGGTCAGACCATCTCATTCCTGCATTGTAGGGAACAAAACTAAGCACCGAGTCACAGCCTTGATACCGTTGACAGCTCTGCAGCCCTCCCCTGCTTTCCCTTTGTCATCTCTTCTCAAGCTGAAAAGTTGCCAAGCCTTTCACTGGATGGGAGCATGCTCTCTCCTCCTTGTCTGATATTTTTCACAGTTCTGCTGTGTGACATCCTTCTGGAGTCCTTTGGTATTGCCATAGCATCCTGCAACATTTCCCCAGTCTGCTACAGGGAAGTTTTTCCCCAGATTTACTTGGCCCAACTCTGTATCACCTACAGACTTACCACTGGAAATGCAAGCAGAGCCAAAAAACCCAAGCCCCAGGATGTGAGGATGCCATCTATCATCTCCTTGCACCACAAGCAATAATTATCTCCTCCCCCTGTTATTTATGACCTATGGCCTCCTCCCTCACTGGGTAGTAGCTCTGCCCAGAAGTGTCCTCCTGAAGGATCTCAGCTGTCCTCGTCCCCCTTGTTACGTGTTAATTAGGGTCAAAAGTCAGGCACTGAGGGGGTGGGGGGAACCATATACAAAATAGTACTTGTTAAAAAGTAGTAATATACATCATTTTGGATTAGCAGGGATCCAGATTCTGTATTGCCTTACATCCATAAAGTCTTCTGCCCACTCGGTCCATCCAGGGCTGTCATGTTTTTGGAACAAAGTGGGCTGGTTTCAAGGGCTCACTGTGATGCCAGTGGGTGGATTTATGGATTTTTGCAACCCTTTTTTCCACTGAATATGGGTGGATGTGTGTTCGGTAAGAAACTCACACTGAGTGCATTTAGTTGCATGGGTGTTAAGATTGATGGGAGCAAGAGGAACATGGGCTTGTATTTTAACACTGATGAAAAAGGATATTTCTTCTAAGGTGAAGTAAGTTTCTTTTCAGAACATGGGCAATTTATTTTTTTTAAAGGTATTTGTCCACCAGAGGACTCATTTCATGACAAGTCACAGCAAAGTTGTGCTGCATCCCATCGTCTCCACTCCACTCCTTCTCATGCAAGATCGAGGCCATTTGCCATTATTGCCACCAGGTGCAGCAGAGAGGGACTTTCTGATGATGCCCTCTGTGACAGTATCTCCTTGAAATCTGTATTGATGGCACAGAGAACTGATCTCAGGGAATCCATAACAGGAAAAGTTGGAAGAGTGATTCAGTTCTCCATTCACCTCCTCGATGTTGGCACTTACGAAATTTCCCTTGTTTAAAAAAGCCTTTACAAAATTCCGGGGAAGGGACTGAGCTTTCCAGCACAGATGTCAATCCCCTGCCTTAGTCCTGCTGAAGGATTTTTGTGAAAGGCTTAGAGTCCAGTTCTTAGCTTCATTGGGAATTGGGAAGGGCTCCAAATAAACTCCAGCCTGTGCAGGCTCCTTCAATACAACCTCACGCTGCTGCTGCAGCTACATGGACCACGGGGCTGAACTGGGCATTTCTTAGGCTCTTAGAAAAGCCATGTGCATTAAAACACACACATGGAGTGTTTTAGCACTAATGTGCATGTCTGAAAAATGGGAAATGTGTACTAGATGCGCTTCAGGTGCTCTGGGAAACAAAGCAGAACGCTTTCTGAGCACAGGGTGGAATTTAACACCTACTGGAGCCCCTGTACTTGTTGCTGGGAGGTGGCCATGTAGATGGGGTCTGAGCTGAGAGGGTGCAGAAGACTTCAGGTCTGACCCTGTCCTCGTCTGCCCCTCTGCAGGAGGCAGGAGGTGAGTGGCGAGACCGCCAGGATGCTAAACCTCCTCCTGTACCAAAACCTCTTACTTTATTAGTCCTACCCTTAGAATATCCTTTTTCTTTACTGTAATTTTCCACAGTGAGTAATTTCATTATTGAGGAGAGGGCTGGGGGAAGCACATCCATGAGATGCCTCATGCAGCAGATGTAAGAGAACTGTGCAGGATGCTGCTGAAATACTGTGTGCTGCCACATCTTGTCTTGCTGGGATGAGCTTGACCTCCAAATCTGAGCACAAGAGGCAAACTCAAGGTTAAGGGATGGATGCAGCCTCTCTTTGCCAAGGCTGATTAATCTATGTTGAACTTCTTATACAATTTTTTATTATTTTTATTTTTTATTATTATTATTTTGAGGTAGCACATGTTAATTCAGGCATTTCTGAAATATGGAGCATCTGCTGGTGGGTGGCTGAATACAGGAGGGACTGTGTCGATGCTATCCATTTGTTCCTCATTGTCCCATACTGGAAATGTAACGGGAAATGTTAGCATCCTTCCTGCTGGCAATGGACATGAGCCACAAGAGCCTAGTGTTTAGCACTGGGCACGCACCTGAGCTGCTCTCCCACCCAACAGGGGAAGCTGAAAATGAAGCAGCAGCGAGCTAGGGCTGGCGATGCTGAGCTCCAGGTCCAGCTGCATGTGCTGTAGGCAGGGTGCGATCTCCCCAAAATACAGCTGAAAAGACAGCCAAAGCTGGGCTAAATAATGCTAGTGAAGAGGATGTGAAAAATAAATAAGGGAGTGGGAAGGATTTGATATACTGTGATTCTGAACCAAAAAGCTGTGTGCTCCGTATTTAATGCATCGTGAGCACATTTATTACTGCCTCCCAGTGTATTACTGTCTCCCAGGGCTGCCTGGGAGAGAAAGTGTTGTATCTGTAGGGAGAAAAAACATTAAACCTGGTACTATTTTACCATGTTTACTAGGGATAAAATGTGCCACCTCCGATATCAGAGCTGGACTCATCGGAACAGTCACCCACGTGTCTATTCAGAGCCAGGTGCTGTCATTGCTCCAGTGCCACTGACTGTTACTGGGCGTAATTGTAATTAGTAATAGGAAGTCCGTTCTAGAGCAGTGGTTTTTGTTTTTAATAGTGACTATTTTTAAAAAAGTACTCTATTTATTTATTTTTAAAGCTTGACATGGTGATTAAAGCCCTAAGATAAAGCCTTTGAATTACAGCCCCATTTATCAGGATGCTTCAAGCTGTGGCTGCAATGCTGGGAAAATCATGTCCTGACTGCGGCCCCTGCATGCTGCCAGCTCAACACGTGCCCTCTGCAAACTCTCCTGCAGGACACGGGGCCATCACACCCTGAAGTGTCCTCCTGTGGGCTTTGGCTTAGGGCAGCCACTGCTCTGGCCTCAGCCACTCTGGGGACAGTGTGCGTCCTTGGTGGCTGCAAATCGAGGGGTGCCAGCGCGTTGGTGTGGTTTAAAGAGCATCAGTGAGGGGTGAGAGAACTGCAGTTTGGGTCACGTTCCGCAATCCCATGCACCAGCACAGTCCCAGAGGTCCCCAAATTGGCAGCATTAATGCTCCAGGAGCTAGGATTGGTGCTCAGGCTGCATGTAACAGACCAAAGGGATGCAGCTGGCTGGGAGCTCGTGTGCACACAGGGTGCAGTGCCCCTGAAGCCCCTCTTGCACTCCATCTTGGGCACCACTTTGCCACCCAGTCCAGGCCTAGGGAAAAAGCAACACCATGTGTTAGGGCTGTGCAGGGGAGATTTGGGCACGGCTGCGCATCTCAGCACCTCCCTTGGCCGCCACCATCAACAGGAGGGCGGCGTTAAGGACTAGAGGGGGTGGCAAAAATTCACGGGAGAAAACTTGCAGCTTCCCCTCCCACCAAACCATTCCCAAAGGAAGAAAACTCATAGCCACAGGCTGCGAGGTGAAGCAAAAAAAAACAGTTTTTATTGTGCCTGGAGCAGAGAGACCACACGGCTTGGTGCACAGATGGAAATGCTGAGCTCCTGCTCAGCTCACTGCGGTTGGGGCACGTGGCCCCGGTTGGTGCCAGCTGAAGCCTCCTTCACTCCCTCCTCGCCCCATGTGAAAACCAGGCAGGAGGCGTCTGCCCCACTCCCCCCTCTCGCTCAGGGTTTCTCCCCCCGTGCTCGGTGTGGGGCCACCTCTCCCCTCCCGCAGGCGGCTCGGGCGGGCTTTGAAGAACTCATTTATTGGCTCGCAAACAGGCGGTCGCATCCGTCGAACTCGATTTAAGACCCAGTGTGTACAAAGTCACAGTCACGGCTTGAAGAGCACAAGGCAGCACCCTCGGAATAATCATGAAAAGTCCCGGCGTATGTACAGCTAAGTGCCACCTCGAGTATTCACAACACAGTAACGTACTGCAATTAGTCGCTTAAAAGTAGTTCCCTAGAGAAACAACCTTCCGCTCCGGCTGCGGCGCAGGAGGGGAGCCCCCCGCGAGCGGGGCCGGAGTCTGTCCTGTCCGTCCCATCCGTCCGTCCCATCCCATCTGTCCGTCCCGTCGTGGGGGGGCCGCTCAGTGCCGCTGGCAGGTGTGCAGGCGGGAGGCGTCGGGGGGGCCGTGGTCTCGCTGCAGGCGGCACGCCAGCCCCTCAGCGCATTGGCAGCGCTGGAAGATCTCCAGCCCGTGGGCGCCTTTCCGACGGTGCCTGGTGCACACCTGCCCCTCCCGCAGCACCGGCTTGCAGATCTTGGACCAGAAGTGGCGGGCGCAGCACAGCCCGGCCGCGCAGTCCGACGAGCGCAGGCAGAAGTCCCCCTCCTCACCTGCGGGGCCGAGCGGGGATCAGGGCGCTGAGCGCCGTCGGGGGGCTCTGGAGCCCTTCGGGAAGCGCTCCCACCACCTCCGCCCCCCCCCCCGGGGCTCCCCCTTTCCTCTTACCTTTGCGGGCGGGCAGCCAGGCGGGTGCGGGCGTCCGTCGGGGCAGCGCCTCGGCGCCGGTCTCGTCCAGCTCGGCGGCGCCGGGAGGGGACTCGGGGGGGGTGCAGAGCCCTGGGGGAGGCAGCGCGGTCAGCCGCGGGGTTCGCCGCTCCCCTCCCTCCCTCCCCTTCCCCTCCTGCCCGCCACCCCCCGGCCCCCGCCGCCCCTCACCGTTGCTGCAGGCCGTGCCCGGGCAGCACATGGCGTCGCGCAGGCAGCGCTTGCGGCGTCTCCGGCAGGCGAGGCAGAGCGGGGCGCCCCCACCGCGGGCCGCCCCCCCGCAGAACTCGTCGGGGCCGCAGTCCTCGTCCTCGGTGCACGGGAAAGGCTACGGGCGGCACAGCGGGGACCCCCCGGTAAGAGCGGGGCCGCCACCGGTGCGGGCCCCCCCCCTCTCGACCCTCCCCATCCCCATCCCCATCCCCGTCCCGGCTCCTACCTGCCGGGTGGCGGCCGGCGGAGGTTTGTTGCTGCCGTCGAAGGGCGCGGCGGCGGCGGCGGGGGCGGCGCTGGCGGCCGCTCCCCCCTTGATGGCGTTGGAGCTGAGGGCGCCGCCGGGCGCCGCCGCCCGCCCCGCCGGGGCCGCGCAGCTCAGCGCCGCCAGCAGCGCCACCAGCGCCCGCATCGTCCCGTCCCGTCCCGTCCCGTCCCGTCCCGTCGGTGCTGTCGGTGCCGTGCCGCTCCGTGCCCTGCCGTCGGTGCTGCGGCTCCCGCGGCCCCCGAGCAGCGCTACCTGCCCGCCCCGCCGCCGCCTTTATACCCCGGGGGCTGCCTCCTGCGCCCGCCCCTCGGGGAGGCGGCCGCGGCGGCCGCGGATGGGATTTCAAAGGGCCCCGGGGGGCTGTGCCGATGCCCCCACCCCACAACGCCCCGCCGCCCCGAGGGCTCCGGCATTGGCCGCCGGCCCGGGAGGGGGATTTCGCAACGACGGGGGCAGCTCCGCGGCCCCCCCTGAGCACCCCCCTCAGACCCCACCGCCAGATGCGGCCGCGGCTCCGCTGTCCTGCAGCATCCCCCCCAACCCCCCCGCCGTCCCGCCCCGTCCCGTCCCATCCCATCCCCGTGCCTGGGAGCCGCCGTGGGGAGCGGAGCCCCCCCCCTCAGCCCCCTCACCCCGCTCCTTTGGTCTCCCAGCCCCGCGTCTGTCGTCGTCCCCCCCCCTCCCCGTCCCAGCTCCCTTCCTGGCGCCAGCGCAGCTCTGCAGGAAGTTGCAGAGAGCCGGGATGGGGGGGAGAGGAGCCCGCCCCGTCGGGCCCCCCCCCCGTGCACTCGCCTGACCCCAGCCCGCAGAACCGGACCGGGGGGGTTGCGGGGGGGGGTCGTCTCTGGGCTCCCTTTGATGCGCGGAGATCAAAGGGGGGAGCCCAAAGGGGACCCCCCCCGACCCCCCCCGCTCCCTCGCACCCACCCGTCGGGGCGCCCCGCACCGCCGCGCCCCCTGGCGGCACCTCCAGCGCCTCTGCGTGGAGGTCGGGGTTAATTGGAGAGGCTTTAATTGGCTTGGCGGATCGGGCCGGTACCTGCCTTAGGTACGGCCCCAAAGCCCCGGCACAAGCATATGTTCCCCCCCTCCCACCCCCCCATTTGCCGTCGCATCTCGGCTCCTCGGTAGAAAACCTGAAGGGGGATACGAGGTCGTGCAACGTTTTGTTTGGTTTTTGTTTGGCTCTCCCCTCCTGCGTTTCGCCGTAAACCTGAGCAAAAAGCCCGACTGAGCAGGAGAACTCTCCCAACCGAAGAAAGAGAGCAACGCGCTGCTCAAAAGTAATTATTTTTATTTCAACTCTATAAAGTATACAACAGGCACTCGGCAATTACAGCTGCAGGGAAAATACAGAGCAAAACGAAAGCAGTTAAGTTCATGAAAAAAAGTTCTTCAATCTACATCAAAAGAGTGCAACTGGTCGACGACCATCGGATGACAAGACAATTTTCTGACGGACAAGAAAACTCTTTTATGTAGAATCCATTGTAAGAAGAAAACCAGAGAAATCAGATTACAAAAAATAAAGGACCAGTGTAAAAACGGCATAAATCGGACTCAGGGTGACAGGCAACTCCACACAAAATTTTCCTTTTGCCCGTAGAGCCTGAGGCTGGCTGAGTCCCGGTGTGATGCCCGGCAGCTTGGAGAAATGGCATCGCTGGGGCCTTGCCTCCACGATGGGCTGCATGGGGGGCTGGCGGAAAGCACAGATCCTGCTCGGTCGAGGGGCTCAAATGAGCTACTGCGGCGTTTCTTGGGGGGGCACCCGGTCTCGCCTCAGAGACGCGAGTAGCACACAATGGCAATTCACCTTTAGCTGCTCATCGCTTTTCGGGGCAGAACATTTGTCGTGGGTTTTATAAAATACGGTACACTGGAGCCGGACTGCACTATGGGCTGGATCTGCACAGCTTAGCGAAACAGGAATACCTGTATACAGACTGATAGGATGTCATATATTAATTTGACCCGCACATACATTTATACATTTCACAGAAATGACTCTGTATCTCATTAACAGATACACAGCTCTGGTACATTTAACAGAAATAAGAGAACGACTTCATCATTTCTGTAATTCATCAATATTATATAATAAAGGCTTATAAATTGTTAGCAGAAAGAACTGTAAAAAGCAGCAAGCTAAGAAAGGACAACATTTTGAGGTGTGTTTGTCTTTGTCATGCAGCATAACACCAAATTTGTATTTTTTATAGGATGCCATGGATTTAAGGCACTTGCAACAATGCCAGATAGCTAGTCATGTTCTAAACCTATGGGACAGATGAGTAACAGTACAGTCGACATAAAGTTTAATAATACTGACAATTATGACATTAATTCAAGTCTACTTCGATCTAAAAACATTACATTACAAATAAGAAAATGAAGTAATAATGCCATGGAACTCTAAATAAAAAGTTATATGTGTACCACAAAATATCAACACGAAAATACCTATTTACATAAATATTTGCTTGTGGTCCTGTTGTTAAATAAGAGTTTGCTATGGATAATGCAGCACTGTAAGAAGCTACAGATCTTCTGTATCTTATGACACCAATCCTAATACGCTTGTTTTAAATACTGCAGCTGATTTCCCCTTGCATAAATCCACCGTTGTCCCATATATTAAAAAAGGAGACAAAGAAAAGACAGTAAGTGGAAACGCAGAGGCAATCAGTTGTTGTGAATATATATATATATATTATGCAACTCAAATATATTACTTATAAATGAAGGCGTCTATAATATACATATGCTAAGTATGTCATTTAAAAGATGCTTAGTAAAAGTGATGGAAGTCGAGTGAGGTGTTTGATACCAAAACAAATTTATATTCAGTACAGTGCATGCCACATGATGCAGGTCTTGAGGTGTGTGGCACAAGGAAAAACGGATAGGAAGAAAGGAAATAACTCATCAGCCCATTTTAAAACATTCTTCCCATAACATTTCTGGGTTGCCCCCAAGGGGTCGTGATGCTTCTGGCAACCCTTTGCTCGACAGACAGCTGAATCTCAGCTACTCACTGTGACTGTATTGAGACAAACTCTTCTGGATGTACTTCTGTAGAAAGCCAACAAATGCAACGAGTTTTGTCCTCCACGGTAGCCACAGCACTGAGTGAAAAAACGGGGGGGACGTGAATAACAAACTCAGCTTTCATGCAGCAGGCGTGTGACTGCTTGTTTGCTCAGATGACTGGTGACTGTTTTAGCCCTAGTGTTCAGCGTTTGCTTTCAGTCCTTTGGATTGAAAACTAAGTATTTGCTCTACACGAGTGATTCCTGGTAGGCGTGGTTACTGTCTTTTCCCTACCATTTTCAAGGCAAACAAATTTTAATATGATGCTGCATGGGACGGATGAGCAGCGGAAAAAAATGACTTGACGTTATTGTGCAGATGACGTTGCCTCGCCCTTCTGCATAACTATGGAGAAAATTCAGCAGAATGGACTGGGTTTGAAGGGCTCTGTGGTGACCAAGCTCTTTAGGTTGCTGTCAAGCAGCAGACATTGTAGATGCTGTCAAGGAAGCGGAGGAAACATCATTTTCATATGTTCTATTAAGACTATGGAAGTCACTTCCATTAGGAACACAGAAAAGATTTAGCATTGGAGAAATTATTTTTTACCGTTAAAACATACGTTTTCTGCACACTATGCAAAAATGGTCAGCAAAAGTTGATCTTTTGACTTCCAGGATATGTAGCCGCTCTTGACAACTCTGAGATGAGATGGGGCAGCATTTGTTACTGTGGGAGCAGGGTCTGTTAGAAAGCTGATGTTTCTTGTTGGTACAATGGAATAAACTTTTAGACCCATGTACAATGCAACGAGTAGAGCTTAGGGATATGGTTTAGTGGGGACTGTTAGTGTTAGGTCAGAGGTTGGACTCGATGATCTTGAGGTCTCTTCCAACCTAGAAATTCTGTGATTCTGTGAGTAGGCATATAGGACGGTATTGCCTTCTTACATCTGTATAAACCAGAAGAGACTTCACTAGAGCAAAGGAAAAGCAGTGGAAGTCAGGGGAAGGAAAGCATACATGTACCAACATCCTTCTCCCTGGCTTATTTTTCACACAAACCGATCCAGCTCTGGCCATCCCTGTGCCTTAAATGTGGTCACCGGGGTCTTGGTACACTGGTGATAAGGCAGATCGGTAACTTTTACAAAACAAACCCACATGAAATATCAGATTTCCACTAAATTCCACCGTCTTTTCTGTGGAGCTCCTTCCGATTTAGTTTGGTGAGACGTTAGGATTACATTTTTATGGGCAATGCTAAAAACAGAGCCAGCAAACTGGCCCTCCACCACATTTTATATTGTTTTAATTAGCTTTGTAATAAACATGGAAGAGATGCAGACATGGAGACGTAAACTCATCTGTTCTAAGAGCATGATGGAGAACGATGCCTCTTGCTACATATTTCTGAAATGGTGGTTGACTGAATAGGTATATTCACAGATGAAGGATGTACGTAGCACCTATAAAGTACATTACGGGTCTTATATTTTCCCTTTGGGTTCTAAAAAGGTAAAAGTTAAGCTTAGTTTTATGCCTAATAGCTAATCAATAACCGGTTAATAGCTAACCAAAAGACCAGGTGGCTGCTGTTGCTTTATTATAGGACCATTATATTACTATTTTATAGGTAAAATGGGTAATTTCATGATTTCTTTCCATGCATTTATGTTTTTGTACCAAAGGAAAGGAAAAAATGCAAACGTCATGTTACGTTATGTTCTCAGCTCTATGAGAGAAGCGACCCATATCTGCCTTAACAGGATCTAGAGCAGTTGTGCTTTTGTTTTACCAGATTAAATAAAAATTCTCCAAAACGTAGAGGAAAAGTAACATTCATTCTTGTCATGAACACTGCTTGGAAAGAAAACGGACAAATTTTACCACTGCTTTGACATGAACTCTTTGACCAGTACCGTTGCTGTCCTCCTTTGTTCCTACACTGGCCAACAGCAGAAGACCTACCTAGTTTGGAGTGTGGGAGAAGCCCAAATCCTGTACTGTATTTACCTACAGCACTTAATAAATTACTATTGATCCTACTGATAAAGCCAGTACCTTGCAGCTAGAATGAAGTGTGTCTTACACTACGTATCTTTCGACTTTTGTAATTAGAGCGTAGCAAGATCATTGCAGTGATAGAAAACATGTTTCTTTACTGGTGAAAGGCTTTGCATCAGGACCACCATGTCAACTGCTATATTAAGTTTGAACATAAAACATGAAGAGCACTATTGTCATCTAAGCAATAAGTCCTAATGCCACTGTAGTTACTGTAGCAGCATCAATCAAGGCATCATGGTGACCCCGAGCACGAATCCTCCCCAGTTCTTTCAGTTTCGCTGGCAGCCATGTCCCAGGAAGCTGTCTTCAGCAAGGCAGAAGCAGGTAAGAGAAATACATTAAAAATCTATGTCCCATCCTGAGTTGTCGTCAGGGGGTGGTTCGTCATTGTCCTCAGGGAAGCTGTCAAAATTGCTTGTGTCTGTTGGAGATGCAACCTGTGGAAAGGACAGAGTGACAAGATGGGGACCATCATCAGAGCTGGTTTTTGGACCTCTACAGACCTCTTGACCTCACAGTGATGATCATGCCAAAGCATTCCGTGGTTCTTTTTATTTACTCTAGTCCCAAGGATACAGCTAAGCAAGGATAAGCAAGGTGTGGCAGCAGAGAAGTTTTGCATTCAACAACTTTTTGCTGAATCCCAGGAGGACTTTCCACAAAATCCCCACTGGTTTCCTACTGTCTCTAATGACCCAGGCCCTCTAGGGCTCTGCCTCAGGGGGAATTTTTCCACCCATTGCAATAAAGTTGGCAGAAAAGACTTGAAAAAGCCCCAGTGTTCCAGGAGCACCTTTCTTCCCCAAAGCCCAAGATTTCCAATTTATGGCTTCAGGATCCTGAATCTGAGGTTGTCAGCTGGGCCTCCGGTGCCTTCTAGCTTCCTGACAAGTATTCCTCCACCTACAGAGCCAACCAGACAATCTAATATTCCTAGGATGTTTCTGAATTTCCAATTATCAATTTTGACACAAATGACTTTGTTCTAAGCTACAGCGCAACCAACCATGACCACGAGAACAAGGAAGCAGAGAGCCTGAGTTTCAGCTAAGGTTTATGAAGGCCAAGCAGAATTACTTTTTAGGAAATAACGTCATTTAAAATCTACTGTAGCTAGATGGTTTCTATTTTTATTTTTATTTTTTGCTTCATGAAGATAATTGAAACTTTATTATAATGAGACCCTGACACATCCAATGCAATTGAAATAAATGAAACAATACAAAAAGAGACCAGCAGTTCCTTACAGGCCAAAATAATCAGTGTCAGACTGAAGGAGTATGTTGAGCTGTAAAGTAGCCAGAACAGACTGGAGAGGACAGCACTTGCTGTAGCAGTGCTGCGTAGGAAATGCTTGCCATATTTTTTCCCAACCTGCAGTCCAGGAGACGTATTTGATGCTGGATATGCTGGATAACTGCTCAGCTGCATCAGAATTTACCTGCGGCTGATAATGTCAAACTCCTTGCATACTCTACTCACTGTGAAAAAAAACACTACTGTATACTGGATTTGGCATTTATTTGTTTATTTATTTATTTATTTATTTTAGTTATCTGGGTCTGTAATTCCTGTTCTGGGAGATGGGCTCTATTTTGCCTTCATCTGACAAAATAAAAAAGGCGGAGTATATCCAAGACAATTATAGAGTGTTTCTTTTTTTTTCTTTTTTCTTTTTCTTAGAAGAAATATGATCTAGAGAGAAAATCTGTGTGAGTTGTCACTCTGCTAACTGACATTCTGCGTTGCTAATGCTGTTGGGAATGACTCTCCACAGCTCTGTGTCACCCGTATGTGGCCTGCGGTCCTTCATGATCAGAGAAATGGGAACAAAAGTCTTTCTCATTGCCCTCTCCAGCCAATAAGGGATACTCCAGATATACCTCTTGTCCATCCTAGAGGGTAAAGCGCAAACATTGGTATCATCTGCCCGGTCACTTGCCAGCATAAGAGCTTGTGATGAATTATGGTGAAGAGATCTGCGTGTCTTTCTCAAAAACAAGAGCCATGATGCAAGACAGCAAATCTTTGGAAGAGTCAAGAAGTAGGAGTAGCTTTTCAGGACAGCTTCCATCACAGATTTTTAATCTGTGGTATCAAAGCTCAGCTGCTCCTCGAAGCAATGTTCTAGCAATGATCTATCCTAAAATCCTGTGGAGTGAGGGCTAAGGAGTAGGTTTTGATTGCCTCAGTGGTAGTACACAACTGCTGATGAGAGTTAAAGAAACTGTGAAAGGCCTATTTCTGAAAACAAAACAAAAGCTAGTCTCTATGTTTAGCCCTTCTGGCTCCTTTCCAGCTAGGGAGGAGAGGTGCAATGAGTGAAGGTAAAACTCTACACAGTTTTGGTCACTTTGCAGATATGGCCATTACTTGGAGTTGGGTCTTCTGCCAAAGCAACCGAGCTCCTTGAGGAAAACAAGACTGAGCAGGACAGACAGCTTCAGGGTTGAAAAACTGTCAGCGAGGTTTGCTAGGTAATGGAGGCACATTTTATAGAGGATATCAAGAGTATGTCCAGAAAAAATATTTGTCCTAAGAATTCTAGGATAGAAGAGTTGTGTTGCTTTGGGAATGGGGCAGTGTATGGCTGTCAGCACTGGTAAGTTGCCCTGGAAGAATGGTTGAGTCTTCTGAAGAGGGAAGAATGCTCCTGTCTTATTTTGGACAGCCCTGACGTTGGTGTACCGTCCAAAAGGATGGTGGTGTGCTGGCAGCAGATCACTTTTGGGACCATTGCAGACATGTCCCTGGTAGGATGGCACCAGACCCAGGAATATACATCCCAATGATGCCAAGAAAGACCCTTTCCTGATACCGTATTGGACCTATGTGAAAAAGCTGAAGAAGTGTGACTTGTGCAAAACAGGCTAGAGAATGGTCTCTGGGCAATGCCAAAAGGAGTAGAGACAATGTCTGGTGGTGGAGCAATGTCATGGGAGAAAGTCATGCCCGTAGAGAGTAGATATTATTGAAGTCACTGCTGTGGGTTGTTCTAGTTGAGGGTTAGACATGCAGGGCTGATACATATATTAGGTAAAAGCAGTGTTTCAAATGCTCTTGCTAACTAAAAAATCCACTAAAAAAAAATAGAAAAAATATTTGGGCATTTTCATCTACGTTGGCATTCTGCACAGAGCACAGGCAAACCAGGAATTGAAACTGGACATAAAGGAGTAAACCTGATTTCGCTGACTTGAAACATGGTGGACAAGTTAACAGTTATTGAAAAGTTAATAGCCATTAAAATCAGCTTAACAGAAAAAAAAAAAAAAAAATAAACAACCACAATTTTGATGTATAAAATATTTACAAGCTGTTTGGTGATCCTGCTTTATGCAAACATTTACAAAGTCCTGATTTCTCCTGCTGCCTGTCACTGACTTCTGTAGTCCATAGGGCAAAAGGGGGACACAAAACCTCCTTGTTCTTTCATAGCTGTTAAGAAAGCTTTGGGATGGCAGATTCAGCCCCGGAGCTGTGCCTGCTGTTGCTGCAGGAGGTACAGGACCACGGACAGACTGAGCAAAGGGGTGCAATTAAGTACGATTGCTAATGTCATTCTCTCACTGATCCATTGGGAGAGGCGCGGAGAGAAAGGGATTAAATTGAAACAAGGAGGGGAGGCTGCCGAACAGAAGGGGCCAAGGTAATTTCTATCAGCTAATCCTGTTTGGTTTCTCTTTGCAGCAGGCTTTGTGGGTAAAGGGCTCACAAAGACATCAAAGGAAGAGCTTTGCTGCAAAGGAAAATGAGTAGAGCTGTCCCTCCGAGACTGCTCCCAGTTAAACATAAACTAGTCGGTAACGGGGCTTTTCATGTAGGACACGGATGCAGGAAAAAAGGCTAAAAAGCACAAAAGAAAAGACAGAAGGAAAGGTTAATGCAAAAGAAAGGGAGATGGCATACAAATCCCACTTGCCCATCAAAAACAGGAATAAAGGAGAAAGAAAGAGGACACATCTGAAAAAAGGGGTGAAAGTAGCAGCTCTCTGCTGGAATGTGAAAAGTACATGAAGAAAAAAATGCAGCAGGTGAAAAAGAGAAGAAAACATAATAGTGAGTGATTCTGCCCGGGCAGCAAAGAGCATTTCATCACAGTCATGCCCTAAATGTCTTCCACTGGAAGAGAATGGCAGGAGACAAAGTATAGGTGAAAATGTGCCTAAATGGACTTTATTTTTATATAGGGTTTTGCTCAAATTTTTTCTCTGACCAGCATATTCAGATTAAATAAAGCACATGCTAACTATAGTGTATTAGTGCCTGAAGCTCACAAAATTCGTGTTAAAGAGACAAATTGCTTGGGAAAGAGAAATGAAGTAGTAAAACTTACACTTGGTATTATAGGAGGTGTCAGTGTCCCTTTTCGTAACCCTTCCCAGTTAAAGCCTTCAAACCATCTAGAAAGGAGAGAATAATAAAGCATGTCGGGAAGTTAGACATATGGCTAAAATATCACATAATGAAATTTAAATTGCTTAAACAGTGGGTTTTAACTCCTGCAGAGATGTTCTTCAAATGGTCAGATTAGCCTTAGTTATTTTTCCTGTCATGTTTATATTCGCTTTCTCAGCTGAAAATGGATTCTGTGTTGCAACCCAGTGGTGATACCATGGCAAGTACAAATTACAAATGCTCAGAAGAAAACTGTTCCTCACTGAAGGTGTCCTGGCATTTGCTCTTTCCTTCCTATATGGCCAGTCTGTGCCAATATGAGACCCCTAATGTCCTATGTCCTTTCTTTCTATGAGATTGGATGCTCCAGCCTGCACAGGGATGCTCTCTTCCTGGTTTGGGCACCTCAGGTTTTCTTGGGCTAAGGGTGAGCCCTGAGCTGAGCTCACCCTCAAAATGTCCATCCAATGCATTTGTATTGCTTTGGGGATAGGAGCAGAGTAGGACGAGCACAGATGGAAGAGGTAACTTGCCTCTGCAGTGGTCCCTAACTTGTTTTTTTTCTCCTTTCAAGAAGTGTAAAAACTCTTCAGTAAATTTCTGTAGCAAAACAGACCTTATGTAACATCACTTAAGAACTCTCTCCCATTGAACCAAAAGGTCTGATGAATTAACATTATGGGTAGAGAGAAAGTTTCCTGGGGATGGAGGGGAGAGAAATGGAGGAAAACCTTGGAAAATGATTCTGCAAACCAGAGAAATCCAAGCAGGCAGTGGCTGAATTGGATTGTTTCCAAATGCTCTTCTGCATTCAAGTAATTGAAGTGTAATGGTCAACGTGCAATGTATTTTGGTCATAGGCAAGGCTAGAAACAATATCAAAACACAGGAAAAAAAACATCCAACGCAAACTCAATTACAATTTAAAGCATACTAGACGGGAAAGGCCAAAGGAGTTTGAGAAAACTGAGTCTGGCAGAAAATGGAAGTGTTTGAAATGTATGTTTCTGTGGGTTCAAATGATGGATGGCTGGGGAATACACTTACTTGTGCTTTTGGATATCTTTCACTCCGTTTTTCAAGTTCCCTAATCTTTCTGATGGATTGTCCCTATAAAATGAATAACAACCTTGGTTACTTTCTTAATCCTTCTGAACAACTCATTTCTTTACAAATAAGAGAAAAGTGATTATATTTTATGCATTTACCTGCATAGTTTTTTAATTAAATTAGCAGCATTTTTGGCAATCTTCTTTGGAAATTCAATCATGTCAATTCCTCTTAATATGATATTATAGGTCTTCATGGGGTCTGGTCCTGAGAAAGGGGGACTTCAGAGAGGAGAGAAAAAAAATGTTAAAAGTTTGTCTTTAGAATAGCATTAAAGATGGATAAAAAAAAAATAAACAACAACCAAGAAAAACAGAGTACTCTACTGTGAAATGAGGAAAGGTAGGTGACATGGTTTGCTTTGTATGATCTTAACCATTTCTCAGCCAAGGTGCTTTAATAATGTCAGAATTTAAGTGATGCTGGCTGGAAGGAAGTACCATAAAGTACTTTTTTCTGGAGCAGCACATGCCAAATCTTGTTTCCATGAAGACCCACGTCCCAGCAGCCTGGGGAACAAGGGTCCTAGATTTGCTCACTGGCTTATTCTCAATTTGATGTTGTGACCTGCCTTCAGTGGGGATTAAGGCTTCCATTGGTTTAACAGAACAGGGACAAGTTCACTGAAGAACAGCAGTATGTGAACAAAGAGTCCCTAAAGGCAGATGCTACAATTTGCTTGCTTTGGGCTGAACAACGAGGCATGTGCTCCTGCAAGGTGGCAAGATGTGAGGTCCCAAACACAAAACAGGCTTCCACTGTTTTGGGTCCACCCTCAGAGCTGCTACACAGCTTAGGTGATGGATCCTTTTCAAGCTCCTGTATCTTTGGTGGATGACGTAAAGAAGTGCAAGGAATCCAAAACTGTCAAAATATGCAGTAATGTATGCATTCAACTTTTGCAACTAAACTAAATAAGGGAAAGGGTGGATATGGGGTCTCAAACTCTCATAGTGTCAACTCTACCTCCTCCTTTTCAGATGTGCAGCATCCCACTACTGCACCTCCTTGGTTGAATTACAAACCCTTTCACTGCCATGTTCAGCTCATTCTCAGTTTACAGGAGCCTGGGGACAAAAATGAGGGTGGAGTTCTGATGACATGTCACAGCATTTCCTAAAAAGCCTGTTCATATCTTGCCATTTGAGAGATCTGCATGGAAACTGTGATTTAAAATGGAAAACTAATTATTAGGTTCAGCATCACAGTGTTGAGGCTTCACTGTGCCATTACAGCACATGCCTGCTCTGAATCTTTCCCGTCATCTAATCAGGGTGACAATGGCAGAAATATTTGGATATTTTTTCAGCAGCTGCGCCAGCTCCAATGCCCATACCTGCCAGTCAGGAGTTCATACATTAGGATTCCCAGTGACCAGTAGTCTGCTGAAATGTCGTGACCTTTGTTCAGGATGATCTCGGGGGCTACGTACTCTGGAGTTCCACAAAAAGTCCATGTTTTCTTTCCAAATCCTATTTTCTTTGCGAAGCCAAAATCAACCTGTGAAAGGAGGAGAATAGCATCAGGGCAGAGCAAGAGAGGGAATTTCAGCCATGCACTCGTTCCTCTTGAAGTGAAGCAATGCAGAAAGAAGATTTCCTTATGGGAATATTATTGCAACTAAAACATCATGGGTTGTTCAAGAACCAGACAACTGCAGCGATCTTTTTGCTGATTTACCCATCATAATACAAAAAGAAGATTCTTGTGAGAGAAGAATAAATGCCAACACCGAGCATTTCTTGGACCATGTAACTTCACATCATTGCAGATCAAGTTGTTTTGTTGTTGTTGTTGTTAAAGTCCCAGCTTTTACCTGAGCAAGAGCTATTCAGGCTAAATACAGACCATGGCAGCATCTGCTGAGAAGTTCAGATTTCTATTCCAATCCAAAGAGCTTTGTAGTAACAATTTATTTGAAAATGATGCAACATGCTGGTGGGATCACAAGCCTCAGTGTACCCTTATAGCACTGCCCCTGTGGCACACCAGAGCATGCTACAGGCAGTTGTGGAAAGTGAGACTAAACAGGGAACCAAAGCTGTTCTTTGGGGCCTGAGCAGAGCTCAGGTTAGTAGGCTTAGTGTATTTTTAGCTCTGCCCTCCCCTGCCTTGGTGCTCTGCTTGCCCAGAGCTGTGGTCTGTAGCACACTCTGCTGTCCCTTGATGGCTGTGAAATGCTCCTACACCTTCCTGCACTAGTCAGGGACAACACGTCAGTATTGTCATCCTGAATGATCACAAACCCTTGAGAAGGATCAGTCATGCTGTGGGATCTGGGATACTTCCTGTGCTACCATAGATGGATCCAAGGAGATCAAAATGCCTGAGGAGCTGGGGGCTGGTGATGGGAACAGCAGACCCTGGTCCAGATCCTACTCGGGTGGAGAGAAGGACAGTCTGGCATCTAATCCACCTCCACCTTCTGACACCCTGCTGGAACCCTCAGCTTCAGTGAAACGCTGTAGAGGATTTATTTTTCTGTTATTCGTTAAACTTAGTATTATGGTGACACATGATGGCTGCCGCAAGGCTGTAAAGGCGCATGATGGTGATGGTCTGACTTACCACTCCCAAAGACTGACATCTTCTCCCTGACTGACTGACTCCCAGGTTTCCCTTCTCAAAAGCAGGGAAGAGTCCCACATCCAGGAGTCAGAGATGTTGCCCCATTGTGAGCCTCATGGATGGAATCAGCCCCTCTTGGACACAACTCTTAGGGTTGTGTCGTCCCATCCTTCACTGGTGGTTTCCCAGGTGCCAAGATCCTCATTAGTTAGAAAGAGGGGTTCCCCAAAAGGGGTGGGACAGCACCTCCTGCCAAGGACAGTCTTTCTTTTCTTCTCCCCTCTCCATGGGTTCACAGAGACTTTTTCAGCCTTCACTTTCTGAGTGTACTTTATTTGCAGCACACCTCTACACTGATTTTTGATGCAAAAAAAAAACCAATATACACGAACAGTTCAATACAGTGAAATCCATCAGCAACACTTTAATGTGGGGAGTGGAGATCTAACACAGGTGCTCCCCTCCTGGTTTGAGGAGGTGGATGTTGTAGAAGTACAGCGCTGAGAAGTACCATGACACGCTGGGAAGAGCAGGTTCAGGGAGAGCCTTCAAGAGTCACTTTAGAGGAGCTGGCACAGATCAGTCAGGTTTGTCATCAGTGCTAAAGTGCAAGTGGCCTTAATAGTGTCTGCGTCTAGCCAGAACAGCAGTACACAGGACATGGATATAATTTGATTATGCACATTTTGCCTGATAGATACTGAAAAGAATGCACAGCTGAAGGACAAAGAGCATGCAGGGACTCCTACAGAAATGGTGCTAATGATGCAATATGTGCGTTGCTCCAATGAACAAATGTAACCTCTTCCGTGAAAAGTTATAGCTTGCAGACATTATAATGCTATCAAAAGTAAAGACAAGCCAAATTTCAATCCCCTTTCTAAAGCAAGAAGCTGAGTCAGCTATAGTTCAGCAACAGTCTGATGATCCAAAGCAATTAAAAATAATAATCTTGTGCCATGACAAGGTCATGGCTAACATTTCCATTAAGAATAATGCTTTTCTTTTGCTTATACAAAGGAACTTATTCAGAAACAATAGTCTGCAAAAAAATGCCACCTGACACCTATAAAGCTCACAATGTAAGTCCTCTCTGTCTCCTAACGGTATCTTTTTGTCTTTCAGTAGCTCCAAAACAACTAGATGGATTTCTCCAGATGCTCTTCTCTAAACGCTTCCAGACTGCAGCCCTTAATTTCAAATGTTAGCCAGAATTAGCGTTTTCCAGCTCAGCTACAGCCTCACCCTGCCGGAGGTTGGGAAAACATCCCAGTGATGAGTGATGATATTCTGGCCCTGATTGTATCTCAAAATTTACTGCTGGCCACCATCAGAGTCTGGACCTTGGGTTGGGTGGACTTTTTTTCTGACCCTCTATGGCTAATTCCATCTTCTCTACCCATAACACTAGTTGTCCAGTACTAGAAGACAGGAATGGTGTCTTTTATTTATTTATTTATTTGTTTATTTATTTATTTATTTAATTGGCAAAACCAGACAGGGCAGGCACTTACCAGTTTGGCATAACCTCGATGATCCAGAATGAGGTTTTCTGGCTTGAGGTCCCTATAAATTATTCCTTTGGAATGCAAATATGCAAAAGCTTCGACTACGCATGCCGTATAAAACCTGGTTGTTGAATCCTCAAATGAACCTCTGTGTAAAACAAGAAAGAGAAAGATGATAAAGTGATTTCTGGGTACAGGACTGAGCTGTTTCTACAGGTCATTATCACCATCATGGATGTAAAGTAAGGGCTTGATTTTTGCAAGAGGTGAGCTATTCTTGCTGTAGTTAACCTATATTTATTCTACCTAGAGCAATTCTTTATATTTACAATTTCTTTTTCTTAGCAGCCTAAAACCGTATTTTAGGCCAATCCAATCTCATCCCTTTCTGGACTTCATCTTACTGTTAAAATATCCATACGGTCCAATAAAATCACCCAATACCTGGAAAATGACTGCTGCTGAACTGACTTTTTCACATAAATTTACATATATTTCTATTCTTTTAAGTTAGCTTCTTGGCCTTCAATTGACATTCATATCAGACATTTGAATCTAAAATACTGTAATTTTTATTTTATATTTACATCTTTTAGAATTTAAATGTATAAGTAAGTGCCTTCTATGTAAAAGGTGATTTCTTTATTATAATCTTTGACTTTTAGGTGCTGAAAGAATTTTGAACTGTGAAGATTAAGAACTCCCATACTCATGTTCATATGCGAAAAAAGACAGAAAAAATGTATTTGCTGGGACTTGAAGTGTTAATCGTAAATTCAGCATTGTGTGCTTTTTGATCCTCATTTGAGTACAAGTTTGCAAGCAGTTTTCAGAAGCAAAGTATATTCTGCTGCCTGCCTTGAGCTTGTGGCTGGAGCAGATTGAGCTCAGAAGCACATCTAAGCTAGGTGGCAGCAGAACCACAATTTAACACTGAGAGAATTGAAGATGGAATTACCAGGCTCTGACAAAGATGAAGGATACCTTCTAGCACCTGCTAACTTTGCTACTCTTCTCCTTTTAATGGTCCAGAGAAGGCATGGTTTTATGAGAAGGAAGAATTACAAAAATTCAATATGGATAATTAATTAAAAGTAATTTTATACATCTTTTTTGATCAATCTTTCCAATGCATTTCTTTCACTTTCCAAATTTAATTAAATCATGTTTCAATTATGATTCTATTGCATATTTATATGTGATTGCTCGCACACTTCCCTGCCCCGCCATTGTGTTATGTGTATGTACCATGTACACCCACACAACCCACATTCCACCTGTCTCCTGCTTACACACACAAAACAAAAACAAAACACTGCAAGGTCAAATCCTCCAAAGACAGGAAATACCAGGACCACATTTGCTTGTGCATTACGATGCGGTATTTAATTACATGCTTTCAGACTATTTTTTCCATGGCACTTCTGTGCCCCAATCACATAATGCTAAGCTATGGATTCAATGCATGATCCTGTGTCCCACGTTGACGAATGGCCCTTACTTAATAAAGCTGGACCCAATCCCCGCACAGAATTATTGGTTTCCTCCTGAGATTTCCTCTGGTCTTCATTGCTATTATACCTGACTTCTTCATAAGCATTAAGAAATGTTAATAGATATGGTTTATTATGGGCTATGGCTTATTGCAATGTCTCTGTGACAGATGTGGAGGCTGCTATTCATAGTCGGGGGGGGGGCAGAATTTCATACACTGAAATGAAAAATGCAGGTCTTTTGACAGGATGGGAAATACTGATTTTTCAAAAGGCTTTGAAGGACTTTGCATTTTTTATTTCTAATTTGCACTTTCCCATTGATTTTATTCACAAATGTGATATCTGATTAATGCCACTATTGTTTTTTAAGTCCAAAGTTAAGGCCAGGTCAGTAATGCATAAAGGTGCTGTGCTGGAAGGACTGTATCTCTCAACCATTTCTTGCAAGACTACAGTGAGAGTGAAATCACCACTGCACCTACTGCAACCTCTGGTTGCACCCTGCAGGGTCTCTGTCGGCCTTCATACACGGTGCCCAAAGTCTCTGACACCCTTACAACAATTCCCCCATTTTCCTATCAAGTGCCCTGAACCTCCAGACAGGCTCCCAAACATGAGGATCAGTAGCATGGGCACCGAGGATGCAGCTGCCATCTCTGTGATCAGAAAAGGTTGACATTAAGATGTACCATCAACTATTCAGGAGTATGGAGTACCTTCTGGTGTGAACACAATACGCTTCAGAGATGAAGACACTTATCATGAATACAGTTTATCACATGACTATCATCATTAACACCACTACTTTCTGTATATTTTCCAGGTTTGTAGAGATGTCATGAGAAAGTAGCCTGAGCTAAGTCTCCATTTATATAAAGCCTTGTACATGTTGGAGATAACCTATATAAGTCCTAAGGGTATTCTCAGTTATAATTGGATTCCCTTTGTCTCTAGTCAACTGCATAGGAACAGAAATATTATATTATTTCCTTATCTTCTGGGGATCTTAAATTAAACATAACATAGTAAGACAGGTTTTGCAAATGAAAGATAAAGACCCTTAGTTATCTGAAGGCACGTTAAAAAATATTCAACTTTTTATGACAATATCTTTTTAATACTCACCTGTCCCTGAGAATTGTCCACAGCTCTCCACCTAGACAAGCTTCCATCAGCATGTACAGGTACTTGCTGTCCTTGAATGTCCTGTAGAGCCTAGCATCGGAAAACAAGAAAATAATATAACATTGACAGTAAAAGTCAAGGTGCCAATTGTTCCCACTTCTCATAGACCATGTGCTTCGTCCCACAAGACTGCGAGGATCTTACAGAGCTACTGCTGAATTTATGGAGATCATTTCAATCTCTCATCAGTCCTTTGTATCTCATGGGAAATAATTCAGCAGAAAAAGATGGGAATTTGAGTTGTAGAATCACAGAATCATGAAGGTTGAAAAATACCTCCAAGATCATCTGCTCCAACCATCCCCCTACCACCAATGTCACCCACTAAACCATGTCCCTAAGCACCATGTCCAACCTTTCCTTAAACACCCCAAGGGACAGTGACTCCACCACCTTCCTGGGCAACCCATCCCAATGCCTAATCACTCTCTCTGGGAAGGAATGTCTCTCCTCATTTCCAACCTAAGCCTCCCCTGGTGCAACTTGAGGCCATTCCTTCTAGTCCTATCACGAGTTACCTGTGAGAAGAAGCTGACACCCAGCTCCTCACACCTCCCTTGCAGGTAGCTGCAGAGAGCAATGAGGTCTCCCCTGAGCCTCCTCTTCTCCAGACCAAACAACCCCAGCGCCCTCAGCCGCTCCTCACAGGACTTGTGGACCAGGCCCTTCACCAGCTCACAGCCCTTCTCTGGACATGCTCCAGGGCCTTGATGTCCTTGCAGTGAGGGGCCCAAAGCTGAACACAGCACTCGAGGTGCGGCCTCACCAGAGCAGAGTACAGGAGGACGATCACCTCCCTGGTCCTGCTGGCTGCACTATTCCTGGTACAAGCCAGGATGCTGCTGGCCTTCTTGGCCACCTGGGCACACTGCTGGTGCGTGTTCAGGCGAGCATTGACCAACACCCCCAGGTCCTTTTCCTCTGCACAGCTTTCCAGTCACCCTGCCCCAAGCCTGTAGTGTTGCATGGGGTTGTTGTGGCATGGCTCAGCACTGAGCCATGTTGAACATCATCCCATTGGCCTCTGCCCATCAACCCATCCTGTCTACGTCCCTCTGCAGGGCCTCCCTACCTTGTGGCAGATCGACACTTACTTCCTCCCAACTTGGTGTCATCTGCCAACTTATTGAGGGTGCACTCAATTCCCTCATCGAAGTCATCAGTAAAGATATTAAAGAGGATGGGCCCAATACTGATCCCTGGTGAACACTGCTTGTGACCAGTTGCCATCTGGATTTCACTCAATTAATGAAGTGTATAAGATCAAAAGAAGCAATTACAATAGCTCTGAGTATTAAATATAAAGTCTGACACTTCTAATGGCATAACCTGACACTTGGCTTTCCAGATTTGCTTGAAAAAAAAAAGATTTCCTACCATTTTAACAATGTCTGTATCATCTTATTCTTCATGCTACAGATACAGCTGTAGATCTGCAGTATTCCTTCTTCCATTTCAAGGAAGTGCTGCCCAATTTGTGATTCATTTCAGAATTTAAAACTACTGATTTAGTCAAGTTTAAAGAGAACCTGCTGACATTTAGGTATCTAAAAGCACCCTTTCTCTTCATCCTAGGGGCTGAATGTGGAGGAAAATTTGGCTAAAGAGATAGATGGGTCGGGATTTATGAACCTATATTCCTTCTCAGAGTGATATATTAAACAAATGCAATTATGAAACTACAGACATAAACATAGGGAATTCAGTGTCAGCTACTTTATTTGATTTTAATATTGAACCAATTTTTCCCCCCAAAGCTCTGAGGTGGGCAGCAGTATCTCTTGCAGTAAGACAGGAGAAGAAGGGAGGGGAAGGGATTTGCTTGTCAGGGAAAGGAAACCCATCAGGCACCTTAAGACTAGGCCGTGTGATGGATCAGGGGATTAAAAAGAAATAATTAAAAAGGCAGGATTTGGTTCATTTTGCAGGAATTTTGTTAATATTAAGGTACAGGGCAAAACGTGGGTCTGGTATGCCTTCACACCATGATGCTAGACAGAATTTGTTTCCTGTGTGTGATTGCATAGCACAGCACACAGCTTAGCAGCAGCTACCTGATACACTTTTAGCATGTTTAACAGAAAAAATTCCAGCAACTGCAGCTGTGATGCAGGCAGGACATTGGGTGCTTGCTGATTGTCCTGCTGAAGCTAGGACAGGGTCTGTTACTGCTGTCTGAATCAATCTTACTTTTCCTTGCTTTCACATGCATTAGAGGTCGTAAGATTAAAAAAAAATCACAGGAAAAAAAGCTCAGTGCTTATCTACCTGTGAAATATTCTGTAGCTAAAATGTGCTGTATGTGGCCACAATGAAATTTAATGGAAAAAAACAAACTTGTGCTTTAGAGCTTCCCTTACTATAATATTACCTATGTTGACATTTAAAACCTCAGTTATGCATCTCAGAAAAGTTGGAACAAACTAACTGGCCACTTCATATGTTTAAAATTTATGGATTTACAAAAAAAAAAAATAACATATTTCTTGCTAGTTGGACAAAATAAAATTTATACTACAATACCATAATTTCATCTACATTAAGGTTTACAGAAAACCTACACCTTCAAGAACCCCAAATATGAATAATTAAATATTTTTGATTGCCTGTTAATTTAAATGCTACTGAAATAAAGCACTACTTTCTCTAGTTAAGGCAGCCGTGTTGAAAGCTTACTTTCCAGAACATCTTACGGGCATCAAATCTGGCCAATCAAATATTGTTTATCAACTTTAACAGAAGTGCAAAGTTTATACATGAGATGTATAGCATGAAGTATGAAACCACAGTATTTCAGTAGATCAAGCAGTTATAAGTCTGAAATGTCACAATATTGGAATTCATTCCTTTATTCATTTTCTTACTCATCTAAATATTTACAGATCTGCTGCAGACATCCATGGCTCAACTCTTGCTTGTTCCTTTACCAAATCCACACATGGCATTTTGTTCTGTAAAGTTGTCAGTTTATCTATGAGTAAATTTTATTGAGTGATATTTGGCTTCTTTTTTTTTTTTTTTTCTTTGCTTGGCTTAATGCATTTTAAAAACCTAACTGAAATACTTTTCCAAGATTTTTCACAAACAGTTTCATGAAGAATTAGGAGAACAATTCTATTCTTCAGGAATTTTGTCTTTCCTGTTCTGTTATCCCAGAGGTTGTCCTTGGTTCAAGATCATTTTAAACCTACCTTTAACCTAACAGCTCAAAACACAACTTGTCTACAAAAATGGTAACATTTCTGCCTGTAGTACCCAGAAAAAAATATCTCAGCTACAGGCCTGGCCCAAAAAAGGGTACAAACAAGCTATGAATAAATTTAGGACAGAAAGTAGAAGACAACTCCAAATCCCCATGGAGCTGCAAAAGGAGAAGTGAGAGGGAAAAGTGGACACGGGCTTTGATAAGCCAGTGAACATTTTCTAGTTTCCAGCAGCTGCAATAAGAAAAGGTTGGGCTTTGTGGCTTAGAAAGTCCCTCCCCTGTGCAGGACGTCTAAGGGGTATTAAAAGTGTTTAGGGAAGGCTTGTTACTCTAAAGGACAGGAAATATTGCATGATACAGAAAGAAAAAAAGGGATTCAGTTTGGCCCTACATCTGAGCTGCCTGCTTTGTCAATAGTGTACAGGTCATTTTACATGCGTATGCAAGTAATAGTGTAACATAATTATATAATACCATAAAAATATATATAGTGATGTTATAGCTAGAGACAGACACAGAAAAACAAGAACATATAGCCAGACATAGCAGCAGCAAATAACTCAGCCTGACTGAAGTCCTCTACACTGCCGTGTTGGGAAGACTGCACTGAATCAAAAATTGAGTTTTGATGGAAACTGCCAGGCCATAAAGCACTGGAAAAAGTTCTTCCTTCATCCTGTCTTCTTGTCACCTTTTCCATTTTGGGCTCACTTTGGAACAAGAAGAAGACTGGGATCACTTCAAAGTTCATCTTATCACTGTTTCTCAGCATTCAAAGCATTTACCTGCTTTGGCAAAGGGATCGGACCCAATGATCTCTCAAGGTCCCTTCCAACCCCTACAACTCTGTGTGATTCTGCCCTAGACCTATGACCACTGCATCTTTTTTTTTTTTTCCCACTTGCCTATTGAAAGAACAAAAAACTTAGAAATAAGGAACTGCAGTGTATTTCTTTTATTAGCTATGAATATCAGTGGCTCCATAAGCAAATGTCTGTAGGCTCAGGCTTTTTATTTAGGAGTGGGTATTCTGGAAATGGTGTTAAGATGTCCCTCTGGTCGACTGGCTCTGCGTTTCACCTTTCTTTACACCAACATACTAAGCCAGCTCAGGCTTCAGAAAATAGATCTATAGGCTAAAATAGCCTGCAAGGTATATTTGGCTCTAGCCTAGGTAATGGGGGCATGTTTGTGAATCGAGTATTACAGTGTGAAGGAAATCGCAGCCGGGTACAATGTCAGCATGCAGTTGTCACCAATGAATCACAGGTGAAGCCTGGGCTCCTGGGGAATCCCAGGGATCAGCCAGGCTTTTGGCCAACACTCGCAGCGGTTCTGCCTGTGAAGGAAATACCCCCTTAGCAGCTGATGGGTTGCCATCCCTGCCATGCACTTGCCCTTATATTTTGTCACAGTGGTTTGGTTTCTCTCCTGGGTTAGCACGCCTCTCTCCAGCACTTTTTGGGAGAGGGGTTGATCTCTTCCAGCAAAAGCCAAGGGCTTCGGCCCATCTCTTTGGGGGTGGGATGAAGTATCCTTGGCTTAGACATGACGGCTGTCTTTTAGATAGCTCCAGACTGGGGAAATGCATTACCCTGTCAGAGGTCCTGCACTCTGATCCTGACCTAAAACATATAAAAGGACTGTTTCTCCTTCCTGCAGACAGATACTCATAAACTTGAAGCATCAGAAAACTTCAATATTAGGGTCAAAACAAACAAAAATGATTAACACCTGGTTTTGTTCCCTGAAGAACTGCATCTGCTTAAGTTTCAGGAAGCATACAATTTCAGTGCATTTGCTCAAGATGAGTCAAGGGACAATGAATCAAGTCTACAAAATATACCTTAAATATGCAATGGATACAACCGGTCATTCACATAACAGCATGTGATCTCCAAAGATGAAACCCTGCCTTCTAACTTCCTTTTGTGAGATTCAGAAGAAAGAGGAAAATTCCTATTGAGTAGGGGTAACACTAAGTCATGGTGTGTATGTCTATGTGGAGCATCACGTGCTGGCATCAGCAAATCTGCCCATGATCTGGGATGGCAATGTGTTTGCTCCAGGACCACAAAGCCATGTTAGCATGGCGCAGGGACCAAGCAAATCAGTCAAGACATGGATTTAGTTTAGGCTTGGGAAGAACTCCCCGATTCCCTATGGGCAGAATAATTTCATATTTTCCTGGGAAAACAAACAAACAAACAAACAAAAAACAACAAACAAAAAAACCACTTATTCTATATGCTGTATTTGCAGTCACTTGCAGGGAAGATATGGCTGAAGTGTTTTTTTAGTGATGCATGGATAAAACCTATATGGTTTTATCAAATGCTGAGACTGGCTGTCCTTTGCTCTATCACGACCTTGTGTGGGACAGAGGGACAGTACCTCACGATGAAGTCCGAGTGAGCGCTCTGCATGATCTGCTTCTCCGAGCGGATGTGCTCCTGCTGTCTCGTGTCCACTATGTGACGTTTCTTCAGGATTTTCATCGCAAAAGTTTTTGACTCTTCACTTTTCAACTGGACCTTGGGTAAAGTAGGCAAACGCACTGGTTAGAAGCAAGGCACGTCCCCTCGCTAAGCTGTGACAGCCTAACTGCATGGGCTCACCACCTATCCTTCAGGAAAGTTGAAAAACAAATTTCCTTCATGAAAAGCACAATGCATTTGAACAAGAGCTTGGTTGTAGAACCTGAGCATTCCCACCACATGTTTTCTGCAGTCACACACAGGTCACCTCCTGCACAATCCAACATTTCACCAATGGAAACTCTTCTTTTGCCCCAAATCTATGTTCTCTTCTTACCTCTTCAGCCATCAGCTTCATTTGAATATGAAGCAGATTTTAACCCATGGCTACACCAGGTACTGCTGTTTGCTACGAGGGTATGCCATTAAATTGAAAAGCCATTTCCAAAATTCATTGTTGAAGGGAAAACCCAACTGTCAGCATTAGTTTCAAGTCAGAAGATGTTGCTAGCTAATGTACAACGTTCATAAAGCCTTCTACAACTAGTAACACATGTACCGCCTCTGGCAGGGAAATGCAATCCTTGGATGTTTTTAAGGGATGAGTAGAGCTGGCTTTTTAACACCACTGCTTTGTCACGTCTTTACTTTTAACCTTAAGCCTCAGCAACCTATTTTTAGCCTGATTTCCCGAGATGAGGTTGAAGGGAGTTGTTTGCTTGCTTGCCAATGTTACCGTGGTAACTTCTGAACCCTGAACCATTCCCAGCTAGCTCTAAGCAACAGGTACAAATCCCAAAGAAAACTACAACTGAACTATCCTTTCCATCTTGGTCTTCCCCTATTAGTCACCACCAAATGAGAAAGCAGCTGTTCACAATAGTATTGCCAGTTAAGTGATTGAGAAAAACATTACGCTTACAGTAAGAGGTGCCCCTTGGTGACTTCTATTTTGGTTTTCTTGCAGGAATTTGGCCTCAGCCAGCAGACAACATCTTGTTTGTCATGAGCTCCATCAGGAATTCAGCTTGCCTTTTAAGTCAGGAGACAACATTCATGCAATGGCATTTTATTTAATATAATATCTATCCTTATATTTTTTTAATAACAGAAATATGAGATGTGGCATCTTCAAAAGTTCTCCCAGGCTGTCCCTACAACCATAGCCTTGAACAGTTTCCTCTGTATTTGTGTGGTAATGGTTCAGGTTACAGGGAAAATACAAGGAGGGATGGCATCTACAGCAGCCAGTCTTTGTCAGAAATCAGACTGGTACCCAGGTGTACACCAAGGCGCCTACAGCTTAAAGAGATCAGATCCAAAAAGCTGATTCTCAGATGGCAAAGAGACACATCAAACAGATTCGCAACACAACTAGAAGTGATTAAGAAATATACACTAATAAAGGAGAATTCACCTTCTATGGCCTAATATTTTCATTATAAATTCTTTATTAATGCTGTGTCAGTGGTTTCATCTACAATGGTGCAAAATGCAGACATTATAGCTCAGATCACCACCATAAATCTTGTCTCTGCCTGCCAGAGAACAGAAGCTGCAGATCTTTGTGATACGTAATTTCTATGACGTGGTTTAGGACTAATGAATTTAAAAAGTCAGGAAAATTTGAAGATGGAATGAACTTCCTCATTGCTCTTATGTTTCTCAAAACACCTGTGGATATCTCAATTTTGCCATCATTTTGCTATTGCTTTCAGAGAAGTACCTTCCTGTTCCACGATCTGATTTTAGGTTTGCAATCACTGCTTGGTGCAATATTGGTGTGCTCAAGTACATATATGGACATATATGCATGCATGTATATATGTATGCATGTATTTATCTGCCTGTTTTAAAACCACTTGGGGTTTCTGTCGTCATATTGGTGGCTTTTCATTTTCCCCGCAGCCACAGGCATTTCCAATCCCACATAAAACTTCTTTTTCCAAAGGCACTATTCTGCATCTCACACTGAGACTCATAATTATTATCTTTGCATGAAGCCTGTGCTCGCCATTTAATCTTCATGGAGACAGGGTACAAAGACCTAAACAATCCACATAAAACAAAGAAAAACATTTTTCCTCGTCTCTGAGGTTATTTATTGAGCTCCCAAGTTATTTATTGAACTGAAGCTGCACGACGCTGCTCTGCTACATGTTTTGACCACAGCTCAAAGCAGAACGAAATTCTGTATTTACTCGAGACTGAAAGTGATAAAAGTGAGTTTGGTTTGGGGTTAGAGCTTTTTTTTTTTTTTTTCTTTCATTTTGAATAAATAAACGTCATGTGGACTTTAATTCAACTGTTTGAACTAAATTATTTGACATTATCCAATCTAAATCAAACCAGGGTGTTTCAAGGGAAAGGGGAGATTAAGGCGGTGACACAGGGGATGAAGCAGTGATGAAGGTAAGGAAAAACCTAGGGTGAGCAAAATTTACTAAATCTTGAAAACAACAACAACAAAAAGTAAGTTTTAGTATGATTAAGAATGTAATTCTAGAGAATTTGTCCCTCCTCCTATGGATGGCAAACCAGATTGCTGAACTTCTCATGAACCTCACCCATCCAGTGAAGTGTAATCAGCTGCCATGCAAATTCTTTCAAAAGTCTGTGCAAAGCCATATCACATGTTACAGATCAGATTTGTTTTCTTTTAGTATGTTTTATTGTTAGATTGTCCAGAAACAAAAAATAAATGAACAAGGGAGCCAAGAAAGTAGATCTCCTAGCAAACCTAAAAACTAGTCGGTCAGTTTGAACACGACACATTTTCAATAAAATGATATTTAGCACTTCTAAACTTAGTCGAAACACAAATCTGTGTTTCTCTTTCTAATGTTAATCGTTACTAGATGTCAGTGTTAAAAATAAACATGACAACTGGGTGGAGTCTCAGATCACTGAATTCCAGAATTATAGAATAAAGTGAAATACGTATAAAGCCCAATTTGTCCTCTTATGGTGTAACATTTTGATAACGGGTATTCTGACTACTTGTCAAATTTTTGTGTCTTTCATTAGAAAAGTTATTTCTCTCTCTCTCTCTTTTCTTTTTTCTTTTTTTTTTAAATTATTGGATTTTCATGGATACCTGGGCTTTGAGGAATTAATCTGCTTTCCTATATTTACCTGTACACCTTCAAAAGAAGTACAGGAAAAGAAATTACTATAAGGAAGAAAAAGGCAGCATTTTTGTTTGGCGTTTGATAATGTTATCACTGCCACAAATGTTTAAATATGGAACAAACAAGTAGCTACAATTAGCTAATGCAAGACTTTGACATTATGCCACAGGAGAATTTATATACATTTTCCATTCCCTTTCCTAATGTGCTTTGTAATGCAGAGGATTTGCAAGAAGTTGAGAACATTGGGGGAATAACTTGCATTAAATGTGCTGATGCACTGAAACATACTGCTGAGGTACAAAATCTAAGGCTTAAATTTTGGACCACTTTCCTTCCTATGTTTTTCTCTGAGCTGGTTGTCCACCTGGACAATGAATCCCGAAAACTTCTCCTTCTCCAACATGCCTTAGTTGGTTTGGAGTTTCTGCTGTAACTCCCAAATGATGGACTGTGATGATTATTTTTTTATGATGTAAAGCTGGCCGTCTCCAGATAATTTCTACTATTCCTATAAACAGTAACTTTTAATGTTAAGTTCATGGTAGTTTATAGAAAAAAAGAACATGTCTAATTCCAATCTAATTACTAAAGTTGAAAAAAAAAATCCAAGAGTCACCTGCACTTTTTACTTTAAAATTCAGGATTAATGTTAGGATGCTGAGAATGGGCTGCTAAGAACACCCTGTCCTCCAAATATAATGAAAAAAAAAAGCACATGATGCCACAAAACCACAATGATTTTGTCTCTCAGCTCAGAGGGAGGTGGATATGCTGGGCAGGAAGCTCAGCCTTCCAAACAAACCCACCACAAAAATCTCCTAAATGCTTTAGAGAAATGAAAAAGGCAGGCAGTTTGCAAAGGAGCCATCTTTGCTATACAGTCCAGGAGATCAGCTTTGACATAACTTGAAGCAACATCTTAAATTTCAAAGGCCCCAGGACTATTGATTTGGTGGAGACGTGCTGGAGCCTTGGGTTTCAATCATTTTTCTCCAAGAGGATTGACACAGGGTAACCAGCAGCCTCCATCTCTCTCATTTGTTTGCAAGTAAAAAGCATTTCCAGTCCCTTCCCTCCTTCTTTTCTAATTCCTCTCCTCGCTTTGTCCTTACATAGTCATTGCCCTTTCACCAGTGCAAAATTATCTCTTTTGGAGATGCAGAGCACTGAGAGTAAGAGCAAGCGGCATGGCCAGTGTAAATGTCCATGCTCACTGAAAATAATAATGTTGCATATTTTACTGAAAGGCCCACTGGCAAGGAAAAAACTACAAATTAAATTTATAACACTGAGTACAGCGTTATACTTCCCCTTCTCCCTGCTTTCAAACATATGCTTCAGCTTTCCATTATGCGGCCATCTCATTGTGCTCCGGCACATGGTCCATGTTTGCAGTTCTGCCTCTCGCTTGCATGGGCTAAACTGAATTCAAAGCAGGCTGAACAGCAAACCTCCACCAACAGCAGACTACAGGCCCATACCATCTTCGTCAGTGCAAAAATCCTCCAAAAAGTGAATCCTGATAAACCTATAGGTGCCACTGATCAGGCTCCATCCTGGTTGGGCTCCCTCCTGGTCAATTTGTGTAAGCTCTTGACCTCTGTTAGAAATGACACTCTGTAGGAGGGTCTAATCCTTTTCATTTGTGGAACAATAATATATTTTCTTGTCAAAAGGTAAAAGAAAATCAGTCGGGAGCGTGGTGAAATAAAGCCCAAATACCACCCTAAGCTGTGACGTACGAAACCAGTGGTAAGAGAAGTAAAATGCTGTACATCAGGTCATTCTGCAGGATTGTTACCCAGGAAATGAGCTGCATCCCAGTGACAAAAATAACAGCAGAAACCTTGTTTATAACTACATGAGGCAACTGCAGAAGCAAAATTTAATGGTGGCAGCCATGTGCCACCTGGGGAGCACGTC